GACTCTTATCTTATACTGGTTATATGTAAAGAATGTAAACTTTCTGAACTCACAGAACATTTTCTTCTCAGTATCTTTTCCTTCTCAGGTGGTTGTTGAAAATAAGCAGGAAAAACATTCACATCATACAATCTGAAGATATCCTGCATTATTTGATCCATACTGAGAAATAAACATTTCTCCCATCCAGGGGCACTGCGCTGGCTGGGACTCAGGACTAAGGGAGGTGGAGGTCCAATGCACTGGTCTGATTTGGTGTGTCTTTAGAGTTTAATAAGACTCTTTTGAGAGGATTCTCACAAGGAGGGGCTCTGGCTTGCGTTTGGGGAGGTGTTTGAGAGCCCAGGGAACTGGTTTTCATGTCTTCAAAGACAGGAAGTTCTGAATTACTGTAAATCCCAGGGGGTGGCCTTCTGATATTCACTCCGGATATTTAAGCACAGTGTCCAGTACAGAGGCTGAAAGACTTGCCCAGCAAGAAGAGAGCAGGGACCCTGCGAATATCATCCAGGTTCAGAATTTGCCAAAGGCACTAAGAATCATGAAGTAGGAAGAGAAAATGTGGGCGCAAATAACTTGGAGGCATCCAGGGAGCTGGTGTCCCATGGCCCACCTGTCCTCACGCAGGTGCCCACTGCGGTCATCTGAATGGCCTTCTCACTCTTCCCGTGGAGGCCGGCCGAGCCCCTGCCAACGCAGGTGTCAAGACCGGAAAAGACGCCTCCCCTCCCCAAGTCTGGGTGGTTGTATGCCAGCTCGACCCAAGATCAAAGGGGAGAACCTAGCCCCTAAGATCTCTTAATCTGAAAACAAAATGCAAATGCTTTGCCTAGTGTGCCCTCTTCTTCAAGTTCCTTAGATTTCAGTTTGTGGTTTCAAGTTCTGATGAGTAAACCCTTCATCTTGTAATTTGCCTAGGTTTCCACCCTAGAAAAGGTCCGCCAAATCTTCTAGCAGTGCCTGCCTAAAAACATTAGCTTTCAGTGACAGTTTAACTGATAAGGAAATACAGAAAAATTTAAAATTTTCAGTTTTAAAAATGATAATCCACCTACCTCTCACAACTATTTTGATTATTTGCCTGTTGCCTTTTATATGTACATATAATTTCACGTTGTTGCAATCTTTGTTTACACATTTTACATTCTCTTCATTCTTAAAAACATCTGTCTGTGAATTTATCCAGTATCCAAAACTAGTTTCAATGACTACATAATATCTATTCTTTAAATGGACTACAATTTATTCAAAACATCCTTCATGTGTCAAACATTTATATTGTTCCCATTTCTTGTTTTCTACTATGAGAACAATGCCACAATGAACATCTTTGTGCACATTATGTATTGGTAATACCTTTTCAACCTTTTCCCCTTAGGGTAAAATCATAGGACTAAAACTAATGGATTAAAGCCATGTGTATCTTGATGGCTTATGTTAGATACAAAATTTATTAAAACAAGTTACATAGCACCAGCAATGAGTAAGTGTTCCAGCGATGAATAAGGTTCACTGCAAACTCACCAGCATTGAGCATCACCGTTAGATTTTTTTTATATAATTGAAATGACATTTCAAACTTAAATGTATTTTCTAAAGAAGGATCTCCAATTCTAAATATTATTTTTTCAATTCAACTTTGCAACACTCACTAAAATTTTACACTGGTGAATGTGAATTTATGAAGTTATGAGATATCCATCACCTCATCCCATTTATCATAGTATAGATGGAGGCTGCATATATATTTGTTGGAGTTGGCCAGACAAGAATGGCAGGGAAAGGGCAACCCTCCTTCTGACTTCAGAAATTAAGAGAAAAGAGACCCTGGAAGGAAGCAGTCACAGCTGTGTGTCCCTATCTCTCCCATCCAGGCTTTGACCAGAGTTAGGGGGTTTGGAGAGCTGTTTGATAAACTAGGGGGCTCTCAAGAGGATACCTCTCTGCAAAGCACATCCTTACCCACATGGGGTGGCCAGAGCAGTGAGGCTGGTGGTCAGGCAGAAAAACACCTGGCTTGCAGTCTTGCGTGTCCCTTGGTCTGCATAGGACATGCGCATGGAGTCAAGGAGGGCATGTCTGCTGGGTGCCTGCCGGCTCAGAACAAAGAGTGGAGCTTGGGCCAGGAACTCAGTGGCGGTGTGGTTCTCCATTCTGCAGGGCTGAGTGAAGGCTCCATCACCTTGGAGAGGTCACTGTGCCTGGGAAGGACTGAGAATGAATGGATCCTGAGGTCATTACGACAAACACTGCAGCAGATGCCAGCACAAAGACTCAGGGTTGGGACTGGGTCGACCCTCACCTTAGCAGACACCAGTCACGTAAATCAAGAACCAATAGGAGATTAGAGTACCCTCTTCTCCCTCTGCCCATTCATCGAGTCATGCTGGCCCTTCCCCCATATCTCTACTGCCATCCTAGAAAGGACCAATGAGAGGAGACAAGGAACCGAAATTATAAGCTGATTAACAGAGGATGAGTAAAACCTAAAGTTATCATTCAAATGAATGGAAGGATAAGACTAAATTTAAACCACTGAGGACTAAAATTTGTGAATACTTTTTTCTTCTACCCAGCAGGTGGGAAGCTGGTAACAAGAGATTCAAACAGTTTTGGAAACTAAAGAAACTTCATTTACACTGCACAACTGAATTGTACTATGGGCAATTTTAGTGAATCAGCTAAAGGAGTATGATCTCAAATTATGTAAAATTTTGTATCCACGTATGCATAAATAGAGAAATGTTAATGGTAGTAAACTCATCATGGTGAGATCTGGGGTGATTTTTACTATTTTTTCCTTTTCTTTATGACTGATATTGTTCACTTACTATTACTATATCATTTTTCCAAACTGCAAGGACTGTGATTAGGAGTGCAGACAGGTAAAAACTCTATCTGCTTCTGTGTTTCTGATCTCATGTAACTAGGGATCAAAAACTTGACTTCTAACTCTACTTGTTTTCCAGTGCTTTTCAGTCTAGGCCCCTTCCCCCTCCCAAGATTCTATAATCTTACACTCATCATGTTGGATTTATGGAAATAACACATGAATTAAAAGACGATCTTCAAGTTGAACAACACTTCAGTGAAATTCTTTTTTAAAGTTTGACTTGTTTTCAGATCAGTCTATGAGAAAAGGAAAGAAAATATAAATAATTAATGATGAGTAGAGGCTCTTTCCACTCTTGCCTTAAATATTAAGGTTTAGAGAGATACTCTCATGACTGAAAATGCCTAACAGACCAAATGATGGGTATGTTTTCTCAGCTGCTGTGTATTATGCCATTGGGAATAAAAAAAGCTGATAAGGTCATATAAGTCAGTTGCTACTCAATTCCATTTTTAACCTCAAAAGCCTGAATGTGTCACTGATCAGTAGATGATGGGCCAGGCCAGAGCTATGAAAACAGATCAAGTTCTATCCAAGAGCCTCTACTTTTTCCTGATTTCATGTGAAACCACTTCTCATTGCCTTTCTTTCACTTCTGCTTTCTACCAATTTACAGCTTTTTCTTTTTCTAGTTTAAAATATGATCTCATGTAGACTCTCTGATGCAACCCACTCCAGTGCTCTTGCCTGGAGAATCCCAGGGATGGAGGAACCTGGTAGGCTACAGTCCATGGGGTCGCAAAGAGTCGGACACGACTGGGCGACTTCACTTTCTTTCTCTCTACAACCTTGCGTGGCTATCATGATCCTTATTTTGGAGATGAGCAAACAAGGCTCAGAGTTAAGAGCTTGTCTGAGTCTTCTCACTGGCAAGCAGAATGGCCAGGAACAGCTCCTATGTCTCCCCTCTCTACAGTCATTTGGACTACATAGAACCCTGACAGCTGCTGACGTTAGGGTCCCAGTATTTTCTTAGGAAAGCAAAGACAACCCTTGCTCCAATTACCGCATTTCTAAGGCCAGCCTTGAGAAACCTGCTGGCGTACGTTCATGACCTCACACTTGTGCTTTCACAGAAAAGAGAAGGTTAGCAGGACTCCTGAGGAAGCAGGGTAGGGATTAGCTGCCTTTCATGGACTACTCCCTTGGTTCTTTTTCCGTCTTCTCCAGCCAAGTCTGTAATTCTAAGAAAAGCAGGCACTGACCCTAGGGATCCTTGTCTAAAAAATCCAAAATCTAAGAAGTAGTCCCATTGGCGCATGCTCAGAGCCTTTATGAGGGAGAAGCTCTAAGGCGTCTGTTGTAGGCACATGACTGGCTTATGTCAGCATTATCAGGAACAGGAAAAGGGGACGCTGCTTATAATCGTTACAACAGTTCATAACTGCTATAATAGCTAATTATAATAATTATTATAAGTTAAAAATCACTGTACTTGAATCCAGTGATGAGATAATTAAGCATAGATACTGGAGATCTAACCTGAACTTTTGAAATTGCTTACTGAAGGATTTTAGACTCATTATTAAATTTCTTTAAGGTTCAATTTCCCCATTACTGTATTTTTAAATTTTGCATTTTATGTTATGGAGCCATGGAGGTGGGTGGTTATTTCTAGAATAATCATCATTATTATTAGCATTTGGTTTTTAAATGGATGATTTTGAAGGTCATATATAAACTATAACACATAAAATACAAAATTTAAAAATACAGTGATAATATAATAAGATTATTGTTATCATTACCCAACCTATCTCTTCCTGTTTTGTATTTCTTCCTCCAGTACTTTCAGGATCAACATCTCCACTCTTCACTACCATCCACAATGTTTGTTTCTTTTCCCATGGTGGATCATGCTGACTCTCAAAACATTGCATCTTTCACTCCTAACATTTCCCCCCGTCCCATGCATATCTGATACACCTTTAGAAATATATGCTGAAGAATGTACAGGCTATTTATTCCATGTGGTTTTAGTGGGCAAGTGAATAAACTGACTGGTGTGGGTCACAAGGAGTGATCATAGTTAACTGTGGGATTACTTCTGCCTTCTTTTATCACAGGGACAAGGAAAATGGTGACCTCAGTTGATGGGATTGAAACCATGGGTGAACTTGCTGGGACCACACCCTACGACTATGAGGGGGCACTGCCATGCGAGAAAAGCAATGTCAAGGAGCTGGGGGCCCAGTTCCTGCCCCCACTGTATTCCTTGGTGTTCATGATTGGCTTGCTGGGCAATGTAGTGGTGGTGGTGATCCTCACAAAATACAAGAGGCTCCGTATTATGACCAACATCTACCTGCTCAACTTGGCCATTTCTGATGTGCTCTTCCTATTCACGCTGCCATTCTGGATTCACTATGTTAGGTGGAACGAGTGGGCTTTTGGCCACTCCATGTGTAAGTTGCTCTCTGGACTCTATTACATGGGATTGTACAGTGAGATCTTCTTCATCATCCTCTTGACCATAGACCGGTATCTGGCCATTGTCCACGCTGTATTTGCCCTTCGAGCCCGTACAGTCACTTTTGGTATCGTCACTAGCATCTTCACCTGGGGCCTGGCAGTGCTAGCAGCCCTCCCTGAATTTTTCTTTCATGAGTCCCAAGAGGAGGCTGGACAGACTATCTGCAGTCCTCTTTACCCAGAGGATAATGAAAATGCCTGGAAGCGTTTCCATGCTCTGAGAATGAATATCCTGGGTCTCGCTCTGCCTCTGCTCGTTATGGCCATCTGCTATTCAGGAATTATTAAAACACTGCTAAGATGCCCCAGTAAAAAAAAATACAAAGCCATTCGGCTCATTTTTGTCATTATGGTGGTCTTCTTTATTTTCTGGACACCCTACAATCTAGTTGTCCTACTCTCTGCTTTTCAAATGCACTTGGAGGCCGACTGTGAACAGAGCAGACAGCTGGACCTGGCCATGCTGGTGACAGAGGTGATTGCCTACACACACTGCTGTGTCAACCCCGTGATCTACGCCTTCGTTGGCGAGAGGTTCCGGAAGCACCTCCGCCACTTCTTCTACAGGCACGTGGCCACCTACCTGGGCAAATTCATGCCGTTTCTTCCCAGCGAGAATCTGGAAAGAGCCAGCTCTGTCTCCCCATCAACAGGGGAGCAGGAACTCTCTGCTGTATTCTAGGTCAGAGGCAGAACACTGCCTATAGAAGATGCACAGACCAGATGAAGCCAACATATTGACCTCTTCACCAGTCCTTTGAACTTCCAGCACAATGGCTGAAGCTCTTGAAGCCATTAAAATATACACACAATGGTGATGGTATATCTATGCATCCCAAAGTCATTACCAAAGGTCAACGCCTGGGCAATGACTTATTATGAACCCTGAAAAGCAGAGCTTTGCTTGATTCACTCGAGTCACGTAAATTTTAATGCACCTGAATGTTAGATGGTTATTATATGCAGCTACAAACTAGTCAAGCTTTTTATATCTTAAACCTTAACTTCAGCCAGTTATGGATATAAATGAAACATAATAAACATAAATGAAATATTAATAAATCAATTACATTTCTTCTTATTACAATGTAATAAATCAGTTTATTGCAAGGACTGATGCTGAAGCTGAAACACCAATACTTTGGCCACCTGATGCGAAGAGCCAACTCACTGGAAAAGGCTCTGACACTGGGAAAGATTGAAGGCAGGGGGGAGAACAGAAGAGCAATTTGGCATTTTCAGTACAAAGAATAACCCACTCCAGTCTTCTTGCCTGGAGAATCCCACGGACGGAGGAGCCTGGTGGGCTGCAGTCCACGGGGTCGTGAAGAGTCAGACACACTGAGTGACCTGACTTTCATTCTTCACTTTCATGCATTGGAGAAGGAAATGGCAACCCACTCCAGTGTTCTTGCCTGGAGAATCCCAGGGACGGGGGAGCCTGGTGGGCTGCCATCTATGGGGTCGCACAGAGTCGGACATGACTGAAGTGACTTAGCAGCAGCAGCAGTACAGAGAATAAAGGTCCTGCTCATAGAAACTTCTCAGAGCCCTGAGATGTGTGGACACTGTCTTATTTTACACCACTCTCACTGTTTATCCAGTAAGTGTGTGTTAGGTGATACAGGCAGGATGCACAAACATTGTCTTAGGTTAAGTGAAGGATGCCAAACTGTGTTAGACAAACACGATCCTTGCCCCCATGAAACTTTCCCCATAGTAGAGGATGTAAGACAGAAACAAATAACTCCAGTGCAAAGAGGAACACACTCAATGCTACACCTGGGTCAGGAAGAAAGGCCATTTCCACTGGAATCTGAGGGAGGAAGACTTAACGGAAGAAGTGGCTTTTGAGCAGGTCTCTGAAGGAGCAGCAGGATGAAAGGGGAGGTTTGAGGCGAAGGCACTGTAAGCCAGTGAGGAGAGGAGAAGGCACGAATGTGGGTGGATGGCAGAGTGAGGGGGGGACGCTGGGATGGGGATGATTTTCAGGCAGAGCACCTTAGGCTTTATTGGGAAGGCATGGGAGCAAGGCAATCAAAATGGTGTCAAGAAGATAATTCTGGTATCACATGGAGGATGGATCAGAGGCCCCAGAACTGTGCAGGGAGTTAAGTTAGGAGACAAATGCAAGTGTGGAGGCAAGGAAAGATCAACAACTGATCAAGAGAGGTGCCAAGAGCACCCTGAGGAGAATCTGGTCAAGAGAGAGTGTGAAGGAAGAGTTAAAACACTAAGAGCAGTATATGGCTGATGCAGAAAAAAAGGGGGGGTGCAAAACAGAATGTTAAAAAAAGAAAAACAGACACACACACTTTTCATTGTGCTTAGATGCACTGACCATCCTCTTAAAAGGATATAAAAGAAAAGAGGAACAATGGTTGTCTTTAGGGAGAGGCACGTGTAGAGAAGAGAAGAAGGATATTTCTCTGAACACTCTTCTGCATCTTTTGGACTCTGAAACATGGGAACGTGTTTTTTAAAAAAAATAAACATTTTAGAATTATATTTTAAAAATGAAAGACTAGGCTACTATTCACATGTGGTATCCATTCTACTAGCCATAAAAAGATTAGATGTCCTCTGCCATGAATGAATCTTGTGACCTGGTTAGATTATTTCTAAGATCCTTTATAGCCAAAGCAAGCTGATCTTGATGAAGTTTTAGGAAGTAGATGTTCAAAGTCTACAAAATACATTGTTGTTGTTGTTTTAAAAGGAGGTTGTGATGCAGTGAACAATTCTACAGCATCACCTCCTACTGGCCATGACACCAAGTGCAGTTCCTGTGCTCACTAAGGTATACTCAGGTTTCACGTGTACAGTCATTCATCTGGTCACTTATCCATTCATTCAATAAACATTTGCTGAGCACATGTCATGTTTTTAACTAAGCCCCTCAGGAAGCTACTGTCAGACTGAATTAGACACTGCTTTGCCCTACGCTATCGATGTTCAAAATCATGTCTTAAAAACTGCCAATGCCTAAATTCAATCCAAATGACAGAGACTTCCACTGTAAGACCAGTTCAGTTCAGTTCAGTTGCTCAGTCATGTCCAACTCTTTGTGATCTCATGGACTGCAGCACACCAGGCTTCCCTGTCCATCACCAACTCCCAGAGCTAGTTCAAACTCGTGTCCATTGAGTTGGTGATGCCACCCAACCATTTCATCCTCTGTTAGCCCTTTCTCCTGCCTTCAAGACCAGAAAACACTCCAACTCCAGAATATTTCACATTCTAGTCAAATGCTTGGAGAAATGATGTGCGTGCTCTTATCCATCCATGCAATCCAGCCTCAACTGCTGGTGAGTGGCCTTGAGGTTTCTCACCTTCATGTGACCACGTCTAAAAGGTCTTACCTCAGTCCAACCCTAAATGGACAGCACAGGCTATGAGCTTTGGAACACTAAACCGCACAACATGAATCTCAATTCGGCTAGGAAACTTTGAAGTTACTTTTTCTCTTTTTTGTGGTTCAGCCAAAATGTAAATGAAGCAATCATTTAAAAACTATACACCTCTGATTCTCTCTTGCACTGTGAAGTATCTGCCCTTAGATAACCGCAAGTGCAGGATCTATAGGTGCTGGTTCATACTCCCTTGATCCTGAAAGCTTTCAGTTCTGTGACCCATACAAAGCCGCACAAAACCAAATCACAGATTCAGTGTGCTCCACCCTGCTCCCCATCCCCATGCTGTCCAATGGAACCAACTGCAATGATAGAAAAGTTCTACATCTGTGTTGTCCAATGTAATCACTACCGATCACATGCAGTTATTGAGCACCTGAAATGTGGCTAGTGAGACTGAGGAAGTGAAGTTTTCATTTTCATTCCACTTTAATTGAAATAGCCAACATGCGGCTAGTGGCTACTTCATGTGGTTAGAGGTGCAGCACTAGCCCCTTCAAACTTGCCTCTTCATCTCTGCTCTGCCTGTACATCAAGCCTCCTGTAGTCAGCAATCACATCTTGAACACTGTGTGACAGGCTAGGGAAAATGCCAGTGATGCAAAGATGAATAAGATTCATTTCTGGAAAACTCACCATTCCATGGAACAGACTCAAGTGACTATAATGAAATGTGACAGGTGCCCAAAAGCCCCTGCAGCAGAGACAGAATGAAATCACTGAAGAAATGTACACAGAGAAAATGATATTCTGATTAGGCTGGGTTCCCCCCAAAGCAATTCCTGAGCAGAAAGTGGAGAACAAAGAGTTTATTTGAAAAGAAACTCCAGGAGTGGGTGGGGAAGTTCAACAGGAGAGGAAGATGCCCAAAAAGGGTACATGACAAAGTACCTTCCACTGAGGGGTAACTGGAGCTCAAAACTACTAGAAAACTGTTGAGAAACAGTGTAACTCACAGTCCTCCATTATCCCATGTGAGGGGGAAGAAAGTTGGGGTATTAACATTCTACTCCCATTGGTCATTGGCTGATTGGCACTAATTTTCCAGGACTTCCAGCCTGCCTGGCTCTCAGAGCCCTTGCAGCTTTGGGAAAAGCTCCCCAGCAACAAGATGCAGATATGGATGCTGGAAGCCAGCTGGGCACACTCAAGTTAAGGCTTGAGGGATAAAGTGTTTGCTACATATTTGAACGACTTTTCACGAACCAAAGGGGGGAAGCAAGAGCAATATCCAGGCAGGTAGGTCAATATGATGGCAGCCACAACGACACAAAAGTGCTCTCGAGAGAGTCTACTGTGGTGAAGACTAGGGTGACCTTGACAATAGCAGGTGACCTTGAACACACCTCAGTGTTGACTTTCCTGACGCTCCTCTTTTTTTGCTGAGCATCATATCCTGCTGGTTTAAAAAATATGATCCTTTTACAGCTTGAGTTTTTGAAGTTTTCTTCAAATTCCAGAGTCAAATTTCTAATCTTCACACCTTCTGAACAAAGCAGGTTTATGTCCTTCGTAGTCTGTGGGCTTTCAATCAATGAGGTTTTCGCCCCTTTCTGCCCAGATAAATCCCCAGTTTAGTTAAGGTCGCCATTTCTCTTCTCAATTCACTGACCCAATCCAGGAGTCGGTGAACTGTGACCTAGGGACCAAACACAGCTCGCTGCCTGCTCCATGAGCAGAGCTGGAGCAGAGCCAGGCCAGTTTGCTTATGAACTGTCTATGGCTGCTGCTGTTCTACCATAATAGAGCTGAGTGACCGTGGCAGAGGCCGTGCAGTCCACAAATCCTAAACCATTTCCTTTCTTGTCTCTACAGAAGAAGTTTCCTGAACCTGGATAATTCATGTCCCACAGGATCTGGGGCTCTGATATGCATAGCCGAGATAAGACAGACTAGATTTGGGGCAGGGCAGGGGGGTTACTCAGCATGTGAGGTTTGTAGACAAGCTGCTGAGATCCCCAGGTTAGTTCCAGCTTGACCATGGATGCAGCTCTAAACAGTCAAAATAGGGTTAGATTGTATAGTAGTCAAATGCTGGTCACTAATACAAAAATGCTAACAGTCTATACCAAGACAGCACACTGAAGGTTTCAACTGGGGCAGCCAGACCCCACAGATGCGGTACTCTAAAGCAGGCTATATGCAGAATTGACATAGG